GGGGTAGGGGTAGGGTTCGCATGTGGCCCCCTATATACAGACGTGCAGCCGACCTCTGACCCCTCGTCTGCACGCAGGAGTGACCCTAGGCAGTGACCTGTCGTGCGTGGCTCCCGGGGGCCGCGGGGGGGCCACACTCAAGGGCGCGGGCCGGTTCTGGGGGGACCCGTTTGAACCAGCACCAAAGGTCACTCCCGCTAAGGGTCTCTCGCATAGGGGAAACCGACAGGCACCGTTAGGTCGGGCAAGTCCCCCTTCAGGCGGATTTCGGACGAAAAATAAAAAATACCCCAAACATACACCAAACATATTCAAAAATTGTTTTGTTTACAAAAATCGTCCCCTGAGGGCATCCCAGGAGGCCCAAAAAGGCGAAAACGAGGCAGGGGTAGCGGAATCGGGGGGACGAAAGGGTAAGATAGCAAAGGGTAGGGTTAGGTCGGGCCTGTTCCCCCCCACAGGGGAGTTTTGGACGAAAAAAAAAAAACACGAAAAAAATACTCAAAAGATGCCCAGACTATCTTTGAACTTTCCCCCTGCAGACTATTTCCAGACTATTTTTTTACTATTTGTTTCCAAAAGTTGCCCAAAAGTTCCCAGACTATATTTTAACTATTTTTGAAGTTTCCCCCTGTGGAGGGACAGGCCCGACGTAAGGGTAGGGAAGAGAACCCGCGCACTTAATTAGCTGGTTTTCCCAGCGCCTCCTGGCGCGGGGGGGCGCCCCCAATGTGTCGAGGAAGGGGCCTGGCGGCGGGGCCGCAAAACCAGCGGCACGCAGCAGATGTCGCAGCCCTCATGTCCGTGGGAAAAACACAAAAACAAAAACAAACCACTGTGAGAAAAACACACACTGTGTGTGTTTTGTTTATGTTGCTTTGTGTTGTTTGTGTTTTTTGATTTTTATCCCGCCCTCCTCGTCTGTGGAGGGCAGAAAAGCCACCCCGAGAATCACCACCCCGATGCGCGAAGCCGTTTAGTAGACGCACCCAAATACGGAATCGGACAGGGCAGGGCTGTTCAGTAAACGCCCAGGGCCGTTTCGTAAACGCCCATCGTCCGGTCCGGGTGGCTTCTCCTCCCTCGAGTCTGGCCCCCCGGTATCGATGCCTCTTCGTCCTCTGATCTCGCGCGCAGACGAAAACCGGGGGACACGGAGGGACAACGGCAGGGAGACTGGCACAGCAGGGGGGGGCACATCGACCTGGAGTCGGCGACACATCGCCCCCAGACCCCCGACGTCATGATTTTTTCATGACGCGCCCCCCAGAGGTCCCGACCCCTTCCCCGGGACCGGTTTGTCATCCTGAGTCGTTGTTTGACGGTCCCGAGGCCCGGGAAGGGCCCCCGGAGGCCGAGAATGGCGAAAAACCTCCCGTCGTGATTTTTTCACGACGCGAGGAGGTCTGGGACAGCAGGGGGGGGCACATCGACCTGGAGTCGGCGACACCTCGCCGATAGATCGGCGACAGGGCCCCGACAGTGACACTCCGCACGGTCCTGGGCAGGCGGGGGGCGAGCGTCATATCGGGCCAACGTCGGCGATCTCAAGGGGCGAGCGGCGGTCGAGGCGCCCCCCCCCTGCCCTGAGATCCGACGTAGCGAAAAAAAAACACAACTCCATCCTCCATCCTCCATCCTCCATCCTCCATCCTCCTCCTCCTCCTCCTCCTCCTCCTCCTCCTCCTCCTCCTCCTCCTCCTCATCCTCCTCCTCCTCCTGCTCCTCCTGCTCCTCCTCCTCCTCCTCCTCCACCCTCCTCCTCGAAATGATCCTCCCTCTCCTGCCCTGCGGCAGCGGTGGTGGACCCGTCGGCCCACCAGACGCGGGGGCCCGCCCAGCAGGCCACGGCGCGCTGGACCCCATCTTTCTGCGTAATTGTCCGAGCCGGATCGTTCGGTGAGGCTCCTGGGGCGCGGAGCGAGGCGAGAACGCCCGGCTCGAAGAAGCCAAGGCGCCGGGATCTCGGGGGAGGAGGCAGAGCTCCCTTGGGCGAGGAAGAGCGGGGGAGGGGGCGGAGGAGGAGGCGCGGAGGAGGGCGCGGAGGAGGAGGCGGGGAGGCGAGGAGGCGAGGAGGAGGAGGCGCGGAGGCGAGGAGGCGTGGAGGAGGAGGCGCGGCGGAAGAGGCGCGGCGCGGCTCTCCGGGCTGCGCTCGCCGCGGCACCCCGAGAGGGCCGAAGGGCGCGGCGGCCCCCGCCCGGCCTCCGCTCTGTCGTGCGGCTGCCGGGCCCGCAGCCTGCGGGCGGCGCCCGGCCCGCGCGCCGCGCGCGCGGCGGGCGCGGCCGCCCGCGGCGCGGGCAGCATCCCTCCGCGGGGCGCGCGCGCGCGGCGGGCGCGGGGCCCACGCGGCAAGCGCCGGCTCGCGGGGAGCCGTTGGGCCGAGGCGGAGCGGGGCAGGTGCGCGCGGCGGCCCTTAAGACGCCCCCCTCGCGCCGCGGCAGAAAAGACCACGACGCGAGGGCCCGGGGCCGTGTCATCGGCCTCGGGGGGGCCCTTTTCTGCCAGGCCTCGGAGGAGCGTCAGAAAGCGACTCTCGGGACGGAAAACCGGCCCCGGGGACGGGATTTGGGGCGAAGAATGAAAATCAGTCCAGCAATACTCCAAAATATTCCAAAAACTACTCCAAAAAACCGTCCGCAGAGACGATTTTCGGACCCTTTCTGAATGTTCCTCCTGTAGAGGGGACAGGCCCGACTTAACGGCAGGTTCGTGCGGCGAGCGCTTGTCCGCAGATTCCCCCTGCGGGACGCTCTGGCGCGACCGCGTACCCGCGGGGCCGCTCCTCCTCCTCCTCCTCCTCCTCCTCCTCCTCCTCCTCCTCCTCCTCCTCCTCCTCCTCCTCCTCCTCCTCCAGGCCGCGAGGGCGCGGGGGGGGGGGGCGGATGTGAGCGCCGCGCGTGCGCGCCATCGCCATCCGTACTCCTTCTTGGCTCGCTCGGCGAGCGAGGAGGCGAAGTGAGAAGGAGAAGGCCTTGGGACACAACGAGACATACCAGCACTGTGTTAACCAGCCTCGAGCTGATCCCTATCCCTAAGATGGGCGAGCAAAAAGCGAGGACAATCTTAGGGGTAGGCCCTCAGAAACTGAGGGACTCCTTAAGATCGGCATCGAGGTAAGGTGATGTCAAACATAGGGATAGGGATATGTTTCGAAGTGGTAATGTGTGATCCCCTTGGAGGCGCGCGCCCGACCAGAACATATGGCATGCCGATCGTGTAGTGTATCGTTTCCCGAGCGGTGTGGCCAGAAAGCGCCCGCCACGACGCATATACTGCAAGATTTCTCGGTGCGCGCGTCGCCCCTGGGGGGGCGACGCACACATAGTATTAGTGTGTTGGGGTGACGGGCCGGCGCTGCCCAGACTTCGGTTCCGCTGTACTTTGGGCAACTTCGCAAGTAGGGCGGAAATGCCCACGCTGCTTGTCAAGTCCCTTTGATGCCTATGTTCACCCTGCTTTGCCGTCGCTGCTCCCGCGGCACGTTTGCGGCAACGGCCGCCCCCTACTTTCTCAGAGGCGGAATGTCCCGCACCAAGTGTGCGCATCGTTTGGGCTGCACTTCTGACACAAACTGAAGCCAGAAAATCGGTCGAAGCACGGCGTATCCGAAGGAGAGCCCCGCGCCGACCCGAGAGATCCGCGAAGACCTCCGAAAGCTTGCGATTTTGTGCACGGGCACTGGGCACAGCAGGCACACACGACATGAGATCTGGCTGCAAGACATCTAACCTCCTCCTCCTCCTCCTCCTCCTCCTCCTCCTCCTCCTCCTCCCCCTCCTCCTCCTCCTCCTCCTCCTCCTCCTTCTCCTCCTCCTCCTCCTCCTCCTCCTCCCTCCCTCCTCCTCCTCCTCCTCCCTCCTCCTCTCCTCCTCCTCCTCCTCCTCCTCCTCCTCCTCCAGTTGATTGTTCTACGACCCTGGGAGGCGAAATTGGACCTGCGTGCGCACAAGACAGGCGCATGGGGCCGCTGGGCATGCGTGAGAGTTGTACGCCGGTGTCCCATGTGCCAATACAGCTCAGCAGCATGCCCAAACGAGTTTAGAGTGGTCATTTTGGGGTATGGTCGACTTAGCTGTAGTCATTTGGGGCATGCCTGAACGACGTTAGAGTGGTGGTGCCTCTCGAAGAATCAAAAAGAATCCAATTCTAATCTAATGGCACCTCCTTCGACGACTCGGAGCTCCGCAAGGTGCCCAAAAGCCCTGGGAGCCCACCGGGCAAGGAGAAATTCTCGCGAGGCACCCGTTGGCAGGCCGGTTTCTCATGTGGTGCGCCTACTGCACTGGGCCAAGCAGAAGGGCCCCCAAAAAGATCCACCCGTACCTTCAAAAACCTGCGTCTGTGCATCTCGCCCCCCGCGAACCTGCACCGAGGCCCCCCCGTTTCTCAAACGCCCCGGCGGGCGCACCCCCCGCGACGCCCGGATCGCCACGACGAGGAGGTGGCGGGAGGGCGAGCGGGGGGGAGGGCGAGGAGGGCGAGGGCGAGGAGGAGGAGGAAAAGCTCCACAGCTGCATAGAGCCTCCGAAACTTTTGTGCCATTCTAGACTAAACGAACACATTCCTGGTGAAATTGTTGACGGGTTGTGCGAAATTTCGTGGCCGGGGCACGGATCGTCCTAGCTGGCTTTTAAAGCGACAGCCCACCCTGCTTGACGGCGTATTCTGCTGGAGCGACCCCCCTGCAGAAACTCGGCACCGGGGCCCACGCCGTGGGCTGCTGGAACCACGGTCCATCGTGAAACTTGTGTACTGGAGTCCTCCCTTCTTGACGAAATCATCTGCTGGAACCACTCCCCCTCGCGAAAATTGGGCGCTGGAATCCCCGCCAGCGGCTGCTGGAACCACCCTGCCGCAAAACATTATGCGCTGGAACCCACCCTTCTTGACAGAATAACCCGCTGGAGCGACCTTCCCTCGCATCTGGGCGCTGGAACCGCATCGCGTTTAGAGCTTTCCATACATCAATCCGCCACAACGCTTGCAGCAGTAGGCGTGCGCGTGCGTGCGTGTGCGTGTGCGTGTGCGTGTGTCGAACTATCGAAGAGACAGCGTCCGAGCCACGAGCGAAATGAAGACATCCCTGCCCAAAAAGCCACAAATGCCTGAGTGCGGCCAGCCAGCCACTGAAGCCACTGAGGCCTCAAGACCACTCTTATGACACAGAGCGCGAAGCGCACCGAAACCAAAGTGGAAAAGTACCAGCATCGCAAGGATAACTGGTGAAGCAAGGTGCACAATATGCTTGCTCGGCCAAGCGAAGCCCTTCTGGCGACCCCTGGGGACAGCGTCCCAGGGCGCGCGCTTGCACGGCCAAGCGAAGCCCTTGTGGCGACATTTGGGGACAGCGTCCCAGCGCGCCAGGCTCAGGGAAATGCAATACACCGAGATGGGCCGATCAGAGCATTGCGAACTGCCACTGCCAATCGCCAGAAGCACCAACAGCACCTCAAATACAAAAATGCAACTATAAAAACGGCAGCGGGTAACGTGAGCTTGCGCGGCCAAGCGACACCCTTCTGGCAACTACTGGTGACAGCGTCCCAGCTCTCCAGGAAAGTAAATGCACGGTCAAGCGAAACCCTTCTGGCGACTCCTGGGGACGGCGCCCCAGCACGCCAGGCTCAGGGAAATGCAATGCAATGTGATGGGCCGATCAGAATACTGCAAACTGCCACTGCCAGTCGCAAGAAACACCAACAACACCTCAAGCATAAAATGCAACTATATAAACAGCAGCGGGAAAATGTGAGCTTGCACGGCCAAGCGACACCCTTCTGGCGACTACTGGGGACAGCGCCCCAGCTCTCCAGGAAAGCGCTTGCACGGCCAAGCAAAACCCTTCTGGCGACTCCTGGGGACGGCGCCCCAGCTCGCCAGGCAACATACCACTTCCAACACAAGCTGCACATTGTCCATGTGTGCGTGGCCCCTTCTGCAGCACGCTGCGATGGAACACCGCGTGAACAATCAGAGCATTGCATAACACCACTGCCATGACTACCTACCAGACCACCCCAACCCAACCCGAAGACCCGAGTTTGACCCGAATTTCGGGTTGGGGGGGGTACGGATACCATGTGTTTTTTTCAACGTTCCCCGACCCCTCTCACTGGAAATCGAGGATAAGTTTGGGCCTTCGGGTTGGGTTGGGGTGGTTTGGTGGGTGGTGATGCCAAGCACCAGAAGCACCATCGACACACCAAGCACAAAAATGCAACAGCGGGCGCCATGCGCCGGCCAGGCCCAGCCACTGCGACTCCGCAGCCGCCTGGGCCAGGCGCGGCCGCGCAGCCAGCGGCCTCCCCGGCGACCCGCTCAGCCGCGAGCTGCTGCTGGAGGCGGGCGGCCTCGCGCCCGACAACCCGCGGGGCCCCCGCCGCCTGCTCGAGTGCCGCGTCCCGCTCGCCCTCCAAGCCCAGGGCGCACTGCGGCTGCAGCTTCCTCGCTGTGCTCCGCCTTCGCCACTGCTGCCTGGGCCCTCGCATCGGCCGCAACCGCCGCGCGGGCGACGTCGTCGAGCTTTGCCTCGAGCACCTCGACCTGCTGGAGTTGCTCAGCCCGCGCTTCGGCAAGCTGCGCCCCCAGGACGGCCGCCCTGCGCTCCGCCCCGGCCACGAGCTCCACGCGGTCGCTCGCCGCGGCGTCCGCCATGCCGTCGGCGTCGCTGCCCTTCGGGGGCAGCAAGGCAGCGCCAACACGCTGCCGTAGCGAAACAGGCGGATGGGCCACCACCATCCTCGCCTTGTTCACCGCGCTGGGCTCCTTCGCCAGCGGCCGCTGCTTCCTCGCGACCAGCTCGCTGGCGACCTCCCCGAGGGTAGCCTTGCGTCCCAGCTCCAGGCGCTGGCCCGCCTGCTCCCAGATGACCTCCAGGTCCTTGAGCACACGGCCTTCTTCCTCGGCGATGGCCTGCGCGCTGCCGCCACCACCGACGGCCTGCGCCGCTGCCACCTCCACCGCTCGGCGCAGCAGGGACTCCTGCAGCGCCCTGCGCACGACGTGGATCCCGAAGATCGCGTTCAAGACTGCGCCCGAACCGATGCCAGCCCCAGCCGGCGAGCTGCTCGCCTCCGCCTCCATGCGGACCGAGGTGGGAGAGAGGAAGACGGGAGGCACGCCCCCGCGACCAGGCGCAAGCCTGGGGACCGCGCCCTTGAGCCAAAATGGCTACGGGTGTGTGTATGTGTATGTGTATGTGTATGTGTATGTGTATGTGTATGTGTATGTGTATGTGTACGTGTACGTGTACGTGTACGTGTACGCGTACGCGTATGCGTATGTGTATGTGTATGTGTATGTGTATGTGTATATGTGCATGCGTATGTGTGTATGTGTATGTGACTGTGCATGTGACTGTGACTGTGACTGTGACGGTGTATGTTTGCGTGTGCGTGTGCGTGTATGTTTGCGTGTGCGTGTGCGTGTGCGTGTGCGTGTGCGTATGCGTGTGCGTGTGCGCGTGCGCGTGCGTGTGTCGGGCCCTCTCGCTCTCGCTCCCTGCGAAGCAATCATTGGGGTTCCCCGACGCACCGAGCCCGAGATGCGTCGGGGTCGGGGGGAAGGACGTTCAGTGACCCCGCCACACTGGCGATCGCCCCCCCCCTTCTCGGCGCCCGCCCGAACACGGTGGCGGAACCGCGCGGCAACACTACTGGATCAATGTGGGGCGTGGGGCACGGGGCCCAGGGGTGGGCGTCATAGCATTGGAACCACGCCTCGCTTTCAAACGGGGGCAGCGCGTGCGAGTGCCAGCGCGTGCATGCGCGCGTGCGCGAGCGTGCACGTGCGCGCGTGCGTGCGCGCACGCGTCTGCGCGAGCGTGCGCGCGCGCGTTCGCGCGCGTGTGCGCGCGCACGCGCACGCAGGCTCGGGGGCGAAGGCGGGCGCGAGCCCGAGCGCGAGCCCGACCCCGAGCCGGAGCGAAAGAGCCCGACCCCGAGCCCGAATCGACACCGAGCCCGAACCCGAGCCCGAGCCCCATGCCGAGCGCGCGCGCGTGCGCAAGAGTGCTTCCTGCATGTGCCCACACGCGGTCAAAGCCCCCTGCCTGCTGAGAGGCCACCCTGCCCTCTTGGGAAGCCGCGCCCCCCTCGCGCCAACCCCCGCGCGCGCCGCTGGGAGGGGGAGGACCAGGAGCAAGCCCTGGATACGAAAACGCTGCTGCAATCCGCCCCCTCGTCCCAACTTCCCCCCCCACGAGTCCCAGCACCCTTTCCTCTTCGCCAGAAGAAGCGCCCCTTTGTCCCAAGTTCCCTCCCCATAAGTCCCAACACGCCTTCCTACTCACCGGAAGAAGCGACCCCCTTCAAGACGAGCACCCCATGAAATTGCCGTTCGAGCGAGAGCCCCCTTCTGAGAAGGACCTGCTTCGCATCCGTCTACACACACTCATGTAAAGTTGGCACGAGTTGCCTGGACTGGAAGCGTGGCTGAATTTGCCAGGGCTGGAAGCATGACTGGATCAACGCATGGCCAGGGTCTGAACCTCAAGAAGTTGCTGGCGAAGACGCCGGCAACGGCGAGGTCCAGCGACCAGAACGCGCAACGGCCAAAACGTCGGAACCCTGAGGAGCAGCTCAGAAACGACCTAGAAGGAGCCGCCTGAGGAAAGTTCTGGAAGGAGACGGGCCAGAGGCGTGCTAAGATCTCTGGTAACTGCTAAATAATACTTCTACTTCGCGCGCGCGGGGCGGCCCCTGGGGGTGCCCGGACGAAAAGTACCCCGGGCGATCCCGGGCAGGGTCGGGTCAGAGATGGTTTTCCTCCTGGGCGCCGCCCCCGTGGCCCTCCAGAGAGCCCCAAGAAGGGCCACGAGGCCGCCAAGAGCCCTCCAAGATGGTTCAAGAGTGCTCCGAGATGCCACACGATCGTTCCAAAACGCCCAATAAAATTCTAGACGAAGCGCCGGAATAACATTCCAGAAGGCGCCGTCCCCCCTGGCCGCGCCGATCCCGTGCCCCTGCGTAGGTCGTCCTCGGAGTCACTCGCCGCCCTTCATTAGGATTATACAGGTGTAGACTGGTCCGACAGGATCCGTGCCAAACACGCTACTTCCCCACCTCCTCCTCCTTCTCCTCCTCCTTCTCCTCCTCCTCCTCCTCCTCCTCCTCCTCCTCCTCCTCTCCTCTCCTCCTCCTCCTCCTCCTCCTCCTCTCCTCCTCCTCCTCCTCCTCCTCCTCCTCTCCTCCTCTCCTCCTCCTCCTCCTCCTCCTCCTCCTCCTCCTCCTCCTCCTCCTCGGATCCGTCCCAAACCCATCGAATTCGCATGGGATCCGTCCGACAAGCATCAGATCCGCATGGGATCCAAAAGCGGATCCGTGCCCAGAACCGACGCCCGAGGCGATGTTCACACTCCCGAACGGGGACCCTCGCCAACGTCTGCGGGGGGCCCTGCATACGTTTTCGGGCGCCCGACGACGCGCCCATCGCCCGCGACCTGCCGTCAAACCCCTTTTCCCTAGGCTGGCTGGGCCGACGGCCCTTGGCCTGGCTGGACCGACAGTCTAGCGCCGTCGAGCGATTTGAAACTTCGAGCCGAATTCCCCAATCAAACCAACTTACCTGACTGTCTGTAGCGAGGCGAAGCACAGGGAGGAGGAGGAGGAGGAGGAGGAGGAGGAGGAGGAGGAGCTTCCCCTAGTGCGGTTCGTCGGGAAGCC